CGCTGTCTCAGCAGATCAAGCGTGCCGCATGTTTGCGCTGGTGCGGTGGCAACATGCCAAAAGCTTAGGCATTAATTAAACTATTGACATGTTTATTGCTGCTATTTGCAGCTGGGGCTCGATGTCAACACTACCCATGTCCGAGAGCTGGGGGAGGTTTATCTTAATGGTAACCCAACGAGCAACTGAAATCTTAGTTCATTTTTGTCAGTTAAACCTGTTTCGTGTTTTTGCAGAGTTCATTAAGATCGTGGACAGCCATGTGCAGGTTACTGCTCCTCTCGTAAGCAAAGTTCCCGAGGTAGTGGAGACTGCAGCACAAGAAGGAAACCCACCAGTCCAGCAGATTCCAGATCCCAGCGTCGAGGAGGTCGAGAGGACGCTGCAAAGTGAAAAGGCCATGGAGATTGAGTGGAAGCTGCTGGACACGTATCGTCGAGGACGTGTGAGTATGCAGGAGCTGAGACTTTTCCTCGCAAATTGCCATTCAACACTTTCGATTGATGACGCGGTGTAGTACGTCCACGAGACGAAAACAGTAGACACAGTTAGGGAAGCTGGCACTTCCGAACGTTTAGCCGATTGTATTGCTTACTGAGTAGAAAGCAAAAGGTAAAGTGACTAGACTACTCTGTTTCCAAATCCTGTTATCGCTACAGCGAGCAGGACAGCCTCCTGGCACTGCCAGAGGCTCGAGCCTAGTAGTTGCAACTGCAACTGCAAGGACTGCCAGCTGGTAGTAAATGCAACTTGCATTCACTCCAAAGTGCAATGAGGGCAAGGCTTTCAACCTGAGCCCCACGCTACAATTCCCTCCCAAGCCTTGCTCACAACTTGCAAATAGGCAATATGGGTATTTTCAAGTTACTATATTGCAACGTCAGTTTGGTACACTGTACCACTATTTTGGGACACTGTACCATAATCCAAATTTCATTTTCCCGCATGCCTACAACCACACAGGTTGAGTCATGGATACACAAGCCACTGACCTTGTGCGTCTCACTACTTCAAAGCAACTGCCGAAATAGTAATGACTTTGCTCACACTGTGACTGCCAACTTGGCACATGAAGATCTCTAGCTCGAGGTCAGCTTCTGTAAAGCTGTCGCCAACTTAGCATCCTCGGCAGCTTCCACGTAGGTACGTATTAGCACGGGGATATCCTGTGCTAGAGACTTCAAAGGCTCCCATGAGTCCTCTATGGGCTCTAAGCCGCACCAACTCACTAGGAGCTCAAAAGCCTGGTTCTGTTTGTTCCAACGGTGCTTGTTAAGTCGGTCAACCTTCAACACAATGCCCTGGGAGGCGACGTGCTCCAGTAGCTCCTCCGTAACTTCCAGGTCGCTGTCCGCGTAGAACTTCAAGCGTGAAGCATGCACATCTTGCTCCTTGCCGGTAACGAGGTGCCGAACACGAAACGAATGAGAGTCCGCACGAGTAACTACGTAGGGACCGATCCAGGTGACTAGCAACTTGTTGTGTCGTCGCTCATCGACACGTGATCGTAGGACGTAATCACCCGCAGAAAAGTTTACTTCTTGTGCACCTCTGGATTTTCTCTTGTTCAGCAACGTGATCTTCTCACGCTTGTCCTTGACGGCACAGTGCATGTCCTCAATACTGGAACGTAGTTTCGCCAGAGAATTATCGATGACTGCACTCGAAATATCGACTGCCTTAGGCTGCTCTTCAGGTACATGCAGGATGTAGGCTGGCGCTGGGCATGGCAAGCCAGTGAATACCTCAACAGGGGCCTTGTTAGCTAGAGAAGCCACCGGAGAGTGATTCATGTTAGATTGCACCAAAGGTATAAGATAGATCCAGTCGTTGTGCGAAATCTTGTACTCCATAATCATTGCACGTAGCACTTGCAGTATATCTCTGTTTGCACGTTCCACAGATCCATTGATCCACGGACTATACGCCACTACGAACTGCTGTTCACATTTCAGTCGCTTGCATAATTCGGCAAGAACTTGGTTCTTGAAATGCGAGCCACTGTCACTGACCCATACAGGCGGTACACCGAACCGACTGTGCCACCCAAGCAGGCCATCAACTGCAACCTCACTTGTTGGTGTATCACACGCAATCAACTCGCAGAAATGGGTAAAGTTGTCCTTCAGCAGTAGTAGGTACTTGCATGAGCCAAATTCATCACCCAAAGAAAGAAAATCCCAGTGTAAAGCTCCATTGCGAATGTCAGAGCGGTACAGTTCACGCCATGGTCTAGGCACCACCCTACCTCCTTTTACATGCTGACAGAGCAAGCAGGAGCGCAGGAAACGACGAACTAGAGCAGAGTAAACTCAATCGAAAATACACGGCGAATGTGGTTCAAGTCCACGGCTTCACCACGGTGACCCTGTGCACCACAATGAGCGATGATCAGGAGTCGCTGGATGAGAGCCGTGGCAGCAGTAGGTATCGAGCTATGAAGTCAAAAACGTAGCCTTAATGCAAACAGCTCCAAGCAGACCGGCAAGCATGCTCAGCTGTGGT